ATCCTAGCCGAATATGGCTTGTGACTTTGTGCTAGCACAGCTATCGACGACCGACAAGAGTTCCATCTACTCAATTTCACTCACAAGGCTTGGATCAAACTGTGGCAGGGTTTTCAGGCACTTCCCTAAGGTGCCGCCTCCTGGGATCGACCTCAATCCAGTTTGATAGCATCAGGAAGTCACCTTCCTCACAAATCGACCATGGTGAGATTCAAACCTAGGTCTCATGGTCAGAAAGTGAACCTTCTAACCACTCGGCCATGTGCCCATATACATATATCCATACATAAATACATAATAAATATAAATTTTGTCCCTCAGCAGCAGTATAATGATCAGGTGCTGATTTAAAACTCAGGACCTGATGATTGCATCATATGTGAGTGTTGTTTTAATGGTAACAAACAAAATGAAAGTTTATTTGTATAAATTTTAGCTCTGTCATTTTACACTGAGCATTGTTTTAACACCAGCACTCAATGTACAATATTATATATATATACACCAGACTCTCCCATCATTTATCAACATATGAAGGTCAAACAACTCAGTTTCTAGGAACCAACAGCCAGACACCAGCACATGTGACTTGATTAAGGTGGTGAAGGCTTTGTGCAGAACCAACCACACTTTTTGAAGAGCCAAATACAGAGACCTAGTACACTATATGCCACAAGGTCTACAAACAGCCCTTCACAGGTTTTGAATTTGGAATTGTCCTCTCAAACCAGTTTGCCATTATTTCTATAGAACCCAGTCTGGTTTTGAATTTACCCATAATTGTCCTTCTTGATCAGACCTTTCCCAAGCATATTAGCATTAAATGAATTTTATTAATAATATTATTGCTTTTGTCAGTTGAACCATATCTATTACCAATCATGCCTTGGATATATATATATATTATATAAAATATATATATATATCCGCAATACCAAAACATAAAATTATTATATTTATTTTAATAAATAAATATAATTATATATATATATATAGATATATAATATTAAATGTCTTGACATAGAGTGATCTGTCCTTTGAAAATATCCATGTGTGTACCAATATTTTCAAAATGTATATATATATATATATATATATATATATATATATATATAGGCATGTGTGTGTGTAAGTATGTATGCATTATGTATGAGTTAATGCAACACAGGCTGGGCTAAAACTATTTCAGAAACACATATATATATCATGCAATATTTTTATATATATATATATATATATATATATATATATATGTATATATATAAAAAATATAAATAATGTATGTATGCAAAATAAAGCATAATATTTTTAAAATAAAATCCCCATTACAACCCAAAAGGTTTGTGGTTTTGCTTTTTTTTTTTTTTAAAAAGACAGAAGATAACAAATGATGTTGCATTTAAATTACAATTAAAGACTGTAATTGACAGGAAAGCAAGATACTGGAAGAGTTCCACAGGCAAGAATAAACTATTAGTATTGAGCTTACAGTAAAATGGATTAAATTTAGATTATAATGTTATATGACATTTAAATTCCTGAGGTTGAAATACCAAAGAGGAGATTGATTGTTTTTATGGCTTATCAACCTTTTTTCAGGTTATTTTGAAACTAAAAAATAGTCTGGGATTTTAAGAATTTTTTG